GATCGGAAACTGAGGTCAGGAAGGCCCAGCCCCTGGTCACGGTCACAGTCAACCAGTTTCCTGGCTGCCAAAGGGGCCCAAGGCTTCTTGGAGCCAGGACTGAGCCCACACATGAGATATCCTCCCCTCCCACCCATGGCTGACATTGGGGGGGCAGGAAGGTGCACCCCTCTGTTCCCTGGCTGATAAAGAGAAGCAGAGCTCCCACCGCCCGGGAGCTAAGCACCATATCAAGGGCCTGCCACCTGTCTGGCACACGGCTCCGCCCCTGCCAGGCAGCTCTCTAGGACTCTGCCCTGCCCGATGCCGAATGTCACCAGCACCAGAACAACAACCATAGGCCCTCCTTAGCACGAGCCGGTGCCCCTCTGGAAACTGGGCTTCTGATTATCAGGTGTGGTTGCTCATTCCTTCATCCCTGGCCACATCAGCAGAGACAAAAGTGATAAAACATTTGTGCCTTTGCCTCCATCCATCCCGTGCAAAGGTTTCCCTCTACTGCTCTAATGCAGCACTGTGTGCCACCTTCAGTCACTCCTTAGAGTTTAAGGCTTTGGTTGCTAAAGACCCCTGGAGATCAGTGCCCTACCTGGAAGGTAGCTATGTAGGTGATTCCTGTCAATTATCAGGTCAACGTTTTATCACCTAGTAGGATGGGGAAAGGTGGAGAGAAGAAGGTGACTTGGAGAAGTGGGGAGAAGGTGATATATAGCTTTTTGCAAATCCAGAGGCTCCCAAATAAGTCCAGGGTATGGTCCCAGGGGGTTGGAGCTGGGTGCTGAGTACCAGAAACCCTGAACTGTGACCTGTCTCTGCCCCTCCCTTCTTTGCTGTGTGCCTTGGGCCAGTGACACAGCCTCTTTGGCCTCTATCTATGCACCCTCAGCTCAATGTCTGTTCAGAACCTTTCCCTTCCACTTTAACCAGTGGGGTGATGCGAAGGGTGGAGAGGTGCAGGCTAATTACTGGGCTCCACGTGAGCCTTCCTCTGCTCTCCGTCAGCTGTATGGTAGGCAAGGGTCTGAGGTGGGTGAGGGTGGGGCACAGGTCCTGCCAGATGTGGCTGGGTTCCCAGCCGGAGGCTAGCCTGACTCCTTCTGGGTGTCCGAATTCCTGCCAGCCTCCATGCTGACTTTAATCTGAGGACTCCTTGAGGTTAGCATTCAAGGCCTGTTGGGTCAGTGGGTCAGGTTGAAAGGGTGTCCCTGCCCAGACCAGATCGTGGGGACTGTGTCCTGTTGTTTCCTTCAGGGACAACTTCCACCCTCACTCCGGCTCCCATCTTGCCTTCCCTGTGGGCTGCCCTCTTTCACCAGCAATGAGGACATGGGGACAGCACAGGCTGCATGGCAACAGCTCCCAGAGCGTATGAGAGCAGGGTGGAGCTCCGCCAGCAAGCTGCTCTCAGAGAGCCCACCCTACAGAAGTCTACACTGACCGGGGCCAGTCGGCTGGGACAGTGGGGGGAGGGTGGGGAGCATGAGAGGAGTCAGCTCCGATCAGTTCCAACAGGGTCAGAGGTCCAGGACAACCCAGCTTGGGGGCTGTGCCTGGGGAGGCTGCCTCCCACGCGCAGCCATCTTCCTGATCCTCGTGTCCGCTGGGGCCGGGCCTGGGCCTGGGCCTTACCAGTCCTGAAGCTCTGAGAAGGGTGGGGGCTCAGAGAGGCCACGGAGTCCTGCTGGGCCTGGGGCACCGAGTGTGCTGCTCCTTGGTCCAGAAGGAGTACGGATTGGAATCACACGCGAGTGGGGGGAGGGGTCTTGTAGCCAGCTGCCTCTGGGGCCATGCCCATCCACATTCCCCTAGCCCCCTCCCCTACCTGAACTCCTGGTTATTCTGGGAGCTTTTAGCTGCCACTTAGTCAGCCACTAATGCAGCAGGCTGGGGAGCGAAGCGGGGAGACACGGTGCCAGGTGCCAGACGTGCTCCTTTTAGACATCCGACGGGAAGCAGAGGGGGCTGCGCAGGCAGGGGAGTTGGGAGGTGGGTACTAGAGGAAAGGTGGCTTTGGGGACACTGGTCCTGCTCCTAGGGAGGAGGGGCAGCGCCGACACCGATGATAGGCAGTGGGTTGGTGTCCTTCGGGCCGCAGCACCGCCCCTCCTCCGTCACAGGCGGCCTTAGCCCATCTTCCTGATCTCTGCTGAGGTCTCTCTGCCGCCATGCAGCCAGCTTTCCCACCTTTGCTTGGCCTGTTTCCCCTGCCTAAAATTCTTTCTGCCTGTTCCTGACCCATCGGGCTTTAATTTGCCTCCCCCATCTCTTTGGATTCATAAGGAAGCAAAAGGACACGTTTAGGGATGTGGCACTTGCTCCCCTGACTGGGCCTTTGTAGGGGCAGACCCTTGCCTTGCTCTGCATTGGCAGATCCTTGAAGGCTGACCCCGCTGTGGCCCCATGTTGGTGACATGAGGCCACGGATCCTGGTCCAAAGGCTTGGTGCTGCCTTCACTTCCAGGCAGCCCTCCTGCCCCTGAGCCCCCCAGCCCCCACTCCTGTGGACCTGAACAAAGCTTCCTTTCATGTATTCATTGAGCTGCTGCCACTCCGACACTTCCCTGGCACAATCAGGCTCTTTGAGGGTTTGGGGCTATGTGGGAGCGGGGCTGGGGTGGGGTAGAGAATGGGCCAAGTCCAGGTCCTGGGGCCAGGCTTGTGCCACACTCCCCATACATATCACCAGGTGCAGAGCAGTGAGGTGGGAGCCTGGGGGTCAAGGGAGCTAGTGCTCCTGGGCTCCTGTTGGTTCGTCTGCCTCCTCATCACCCCAGGGGCCTGAGCCAGGATGCGAGGGGCACAGGGCTTAGGCTTGCAGCTCTGTGCAGCACGGCCCCGGCCGTGGTGCTGCAGTGCCCCCACACCGCAGCAGCCGCAGCAGCCGCAGCAGCCCTCACTGCCCTCTACGTCTTCAAATTCTTCACGTGCAGCTCTAGGGGGTGCACCCAGAGTTTCTCTTGAGCACTGTGGAGGCTTGCTTTAATGTGCCTGACTGGCACCAAATTCCAGGGTGGGTTTCCCCTCAGACCCTGCTCTCCAGGGCCTGTCCACTGCCTATCCCATCAGACCAGACTTCCCAGGGCAGAGCTGTGACCCTCAGACAAGGGCTCCGTCAGGGCTCCCTCTGGTGCTTCTTTCCGGGGACCAGAGCTGCGCACTGGCTGTGGCCTTGTTGCTGGTGCTGGCAGAGGTGACTGGTGGAGATGGCTGGCATGGCCCGAGGGTAGGGCTCCTCCCCTTTATCTGCCCAGCCCAACATCTCCAGATGGAGATACACAGCTTTTCCTGGCCTTTGGCTGGCTGGGAGTGTGGGAGTGGAGCGGGGACTGCTGACTGCCTGGATCCCGGCTGGGCTGTGGGCTGTAGGTGAAAGGGGAGCTGTGGGAGCTGAGTCAGGAAGGCCTTGTATCTTCGGGCTGCTGACCCAGCACTCTAATTTTACCCCAGCTGGAAAGGAGGGGGAACCTGGGGGTCTGAGCCTTGGCTAGCAATGCCCACCAACACCCAGCACAGAGCTGGGCACTGGGCCCCTGCCCTGCACAGCTGCGGCTGACGGCGAGTGAGCCTCGGGGCTGCTGGGGCTGTTTGTGACTCTCATCTCAGTAGCTCAGCACTTCTCCGTGGCCCACAGTGCTGGCATCCTGAGAACCAGTACTCAGTAATGGACTAGCCAGTCTGTCCTGCCTCCTAGTGTGACCTCGGGCTGGCGTGTCCCCAAGGGGTTTCCACCTCTGCAGGGAGGCAGGTCACAACAAGGTGAAGAGTATATGACCCCATTTCCCGAGTGACTTGGCCATGCAGGGATGTATCGTAAGGAGGAGAGTGAAGATGTGGGTTGCATGGTGTGTCACTTTCCTTGTCCTGTTGAATGCAGAATCAGTAGGAATGGCCCAAATGGCAGCAAGAGGGATTTGGGGCAGGCTCCGGAAATGGCAGTTCTTTTTTGTCTGGGCTGGAGTGTGTCCTCCTTGGGTGTCACTGCGAAGCTGGCTGCCCGTGAGGGTGCCGCAGCTGAGTAAACACTGGTCAGGCCAGGTTTGGGGGTGGGGGGGTGGGGGGCCCCAGGCTGGTTAGAGGTGGGAAGATGTGAGCTGTCCCGTTTCTGGGATTTAGTTCTGCAACCAGGACAACCTCAGCACTTCTCCCCAGAGGCGGTGGCTGCGGAGTTTCCTTTTTTGGGCAAAATTTCCTGGGTCAGCCCTTCTGTTTAAAGGCCCAGGCCGTGCTCTGTGAAGGACCCCCATCCCAGAGTTGCTGGGGAGGGAGGGTGGAACTTTACCCCTGGGACAAACTGGTACCTCCATGAAACCAGGCCAGAGTGGGCTGGGCCAGGCCAGGCTCGACCTGCGGGCAGGAGCTTGGGCTCTCGTTCGCTATCTGCTACTGACCATGCAACCTTGTGCTGTGTAGCCCCTCTGGACTTCTGCTTTTCCATCTGTGAAATGGGAGGAGTGGGCATGTAGGCTCCTTTCCAGCCCTGATGAAGCTGACTGACTCACTGAGGAGCTGGGGTGGGCCCGGAGGGCCTGAAGAAAGCTTCCTGAGGGAGAGGATGGGGTTCTGAACAAAGTGATTCCTGGGAACCTGGGCTCTAAACAGGGTGCTTAGAGGGCTACTTGCTCTGCCTGAGCAGCAGAGAGCCTCGCTGAGTGTGGCTGGAGGTCCCGGTTCCTCCTGCCGGAGCCCAGCCCGTTAGGAATAGCCACGTGTGTATGTGGGAGTGGGGAGGAGAGGTCGGTTCTCCCCAGGGGTCCCTAAATCTGTTCCCACCCTGAGTTTGCATATTGTAGGGTAGGAGCCTTGGTTTTGGGGTAGGGACAGCTGCTTGCCAGACCCTACCAGCGTACCCCTCACTTCTACCCATAGCTCTGAGCCCTGGCACTGCCACAGCCCAGACCTGAGCCCTCGTTGCCAGGTGAGGCCAGTGTGTCTGGGAGGGGGCACAGTGTCTCCCTGCCCAGGGTCTAGCCTTAAGATTTTGCCAATCTTCTCCTCCTCAGGCCACACAGGGAAGGACCGGCTGGATTTTGGCTCGGCAGAGCCGCACACCGTGCTTTTCCATGAGCCAGGCAGCGATTCCGTGTGGGTGGGTGGACGTGGCAAAGTCTATGTCTTCAACTTTCCCGAGGGCAAGAACGCCTCTGTGCGCACGGTAAGCCTGGGGCCTTCACTGCCCTTCCCCCAGTTTCTCCCCTTATCTCTCTTCTGGCCTTGGTGAGGGGCCTCAGGGAATCTGGGTGAGGGAACTGGCATCTCTTCCTAAATCAGCCCACCCCATCCCCCCATTATATACCATAGATGGTCCCTGGGGGAGGCTCCCTAAACGTAGTCCAGGTATGCGTGGGTGTTGGGCAGTTTGGAGGAAGCCCAGAGCTTACCCTTCCGGCCTGGCAGGCTGCACTGGTGGGGCAGGCCTGTGCTGGGAGCTGAGCTCCAGAACCCTGTGGCCCTTGTCTTCTGAGATCTCTTGGCTGGCCCCTGGGCTCTGGGCTTGACGCTGGGTATCAGGCCCAGCAGCCTGTGTGGTCTTGGTGAATCATTCGCTGTCTCAGAGCCCTAGTTGCTCACATGCACTATCCAATGAGCTTGTCCAGAGGGTGCATGGAAAGCACCTAGGGCCTCTGACCCCTGTCAGGGTGGACTAATGCTTCCTGCCTCCCCACCCCCTCCAGGTGAACATAGGCTCCACGAAGGGATCCTGCCTGGACAAGCGGGTGAGTGGAGGAAGGGAAGTGTAGAGGAGAGGCGGGGCTCCTTGGAAGAGGCATAGGAGTCCCGAAGAATCTGAGGGAGGCTGGCTCTGCTTTGGGGGCCCCAGTCTGGGAGGAAAGAGGCAGCCCTTCCTTAGGATTCCCAGTCTGAGTGGGAGACATACTCCTTCCCTGAGGCCCCTGTGTCCTTTCTCTGTTCTTGGGGGGCTGGAGTCAGCTGCACCTGCTCTGGACTCTCCTTAAAGGCTGCCTGCCTCCATGCTCAGTCTTCTGATGCTTTCTTCCCCAGGACTAAGGGTTCTAGTTGTGGGCCTGCCAGGGCCTCCAACCCACCTCTCTTCTTCTACTTCTTCTGGGCAGGACTGTGAGAACTACATAACACTCCTGGAGAAGCAGGGCGAGGGGCTGCTGGCCTGCGGCACCAATGCCCGGCGCCCCAGCTGCTGGAGCCTGGTGAGAAGGCCCCTACCCACACGCCTGGTCAGCTGAGCCTGGCCTGAGTGGGTTTCTGTCCCCCAAGGTGGGAAGGAGGTGGAGGACTCAAAGGCTGGTGTCACCTTGTATAGAATACTTGGGAGAACAGGGATCCTGGCTGGGAAGCTGATGCCCATGAGAGTCAGTGCTCACTGGATTACGAGACTATCTGACCCCCTTGGTCTCCCCCAGGTGAATGGCACTGCAGAGTCGCTTGGTGAGAGGAGAGGTTACGCCCCCTTCAGCCCGGATGAGAACTCCTTGGTTCTGTTTGATGGTAGGGCTGCGGCTAGAGCAGAAGGGCCCCAGCGTGCTGCTGCCCTGGGCTGGGGAGGGTGGTCAGCTCATGTCTGCTGGCCCAGGCCCAGAAGAGGGACTGCCAGGAGCTGTCTGCCCTTACCTGTGCCCCTCCCACCATGCCCAGGGGATGAAGTGTACTCTACAATCCGGAAGCAAGAATACAATGGGAAGATCCCTCGGTTCCGCCGCATCCAGGGCGAGATAGAGCTGTACACCAGTGACACTGTCATGCAGAGTGAGTCAGGCGCCTGCTGGGCTGGGGTGGACAGGGTGTGAATGCCCAGGGCGGCAGACAGGATTCTTAGGTTCCCTGGGAGGGCTCCCCAAGGGCTGCTGAGGCCACAGGCCTGTCTGGAAAGTGGGACTTGGGACAGGACTAAGCAGCTAGAACTGAGAGGTTGGCCTGGTAGGGAGCAGGGGAACGCAGAGGCAAAGATGCAGAGGCAGGATTGACCCGACACGCTGGTACCAACAAAACAGAGGAAGCCCCAAACCCAGAGCGGGGGCCCAGGGAGCCATGGTATATCCCTCTGCTGAGCTCATGTGGGGACAGCACCCCTTCCCTCCTCATTAGGGTTCTGCCAATTAGGCAGAAGTGACATAAAGGCCTCCAGGGACCTTCCTCAATCCCCATGCATGATGTCATTGCTCCTGGGCTGATGACATCTTTGCAGGAGGAGGGCAAAACAGGTGTGGAGTGGGGGTGCGAAGTCTCAGGCCCCTTGGGGTGTTGGGCCTGATGTTCTGAGTTTTATTCCAGGTCTGATTTGTTCCAGGTTCGTGCAGACTGGGGGTGTGTGTGCAGGGCTGGGATGGGTCCCCCAAGAAGGACCCCCAGCCTGACACCAGTTTGCATGTGTCCCTGGCAGACCCGCAGTTCATTAAGGCCACCATCGTGCACCAAGACCAGGCCTACGATGACAAAATCTACTACTTCTTCCGTGAGGACAACCCCGACAAGAATCCCGAGGCCCCTCTCAATGTGTCCCGCGTGGCCCAGCTGTGCAGGGTGAGTGGGTGGCTGAGTGGGCAAGAGTGTGTCTGTGCATGAATAGGTGTGAGTGTGTGAGTACCTGTGTGCAAATGTGCATGCATGTGCATGAGAAGGAGTGTGTAAAATGTGTGGGTGATTCTTTGTGTGGGATTGTGAGAGTAAATGATGTGCTCGAGAGTGCATGTGCGTCTGAGTGGGTAACGATGGTTGGGCTCATGTGTGTGTGACAGAGTGCAAGTGTGTAGTTATCTGAGAATGCATATGAGTGTGTGCTTGAGGATAAAAGTATGTTTACATGTGTGCATTTCACTGGTGTGAAGGTTTGGTGTGATATGCAAGCATGTCACCTGTGTGTATGTGCATGTGTGAGTGGGCAAACATGTGTCTGAATCCATCTGCTCGGTGGGGGCAGACCCGGCACCTCTTACTGCGGGTCCTCACCGCTGCGCCAGAGTCATGCGGCACCTCTGCCTGGTCCCCTGGCAAGTCCCCCCCGCTCTTCAGAACCTACCTTCCTCCTCTGAAGCCTGGGGGCTGGCATTCCTGGTGCCAGGTGCCCAGTGGGTGCTGAGGGGCCTCCTGTCCCTCCACCCTTCCAGGGGGACCAGGGCGGTGAGAGTTCGTTGTCAGTCTCCAAGTGGAACACCTTCCTGAAAGCCATGCTGGTGTGCAGCGACCCCACCACCAACAAGAACTTCAACAGGTTGCAGGACGTCTTCCTACTCCCTGACCCTAATGGCAAGTGGAGGGACACTAGGGTCTATGGCGTTTTCTCCAACCCCTGGTGAGTGACCCTTGTCTTGGGGCTGGCCTGGCACTAGTTAGGTGTCCAGTAAGGATTAGGGGACTTGGGCCCTGCTGAGGGGTGGCTTGTGTGGCATGAGCAGGGACTCCTGGCCCAAGGGCCGGGGCTGTTGCTGGGACTGGGGTGGGAGCACAGTCAGTGCATAGGGAGAGGTTCATGCCGCTGTGTTTCTGAGTCTGCTCCCCCTGGTGTGCATGTGTGCACAGTGTGCTCGCTCGTGGCAGTGCCTGTGTGTCCGCCAGCTGTGTGCTCAGAGTGGGCACTGGGTGTCCGGGGAAAGGCTGCTGAGGCCTCTGGGATGCTGGGTGCTATCACGCCTGTCGAGCGCTGCCTGCCTCTGGTAATTCACACCTCTTAATCACTCGCGTTGATTGAAAACAAGGCGGGCAAAAGTGTTGCATGTGTGGGGAGCGAGGGCAGGGTGGGGAAGCCCAGACCCTGCTCTGTGGCTGTGGGTGAACCCAGCTGGCTATGGAGGCAGTGGGGTCTGGCCTCCCTGGGAATCAGTAGCCTGCGGCTGTGCCCAGAGGGGTGGGAGACCTGCCCAAAAGGGGTGCGAGTGGGGCGTCCCTCTGCCCTGGGGCTGGCCTCTGAACCCTGTGATCCCTTTGAAGTTTTAGATTGCAGCAGACAGAAATTAGGTTGCGCTTCACTTCTTCCCTCCTGCCTTCAATGGTGTTTGACAACTCTTAGGCACTGGGCTTGGCCCCCAGGATAGTCCCTGTCTTCACTGGAGCGCACAGGCTGGGCAGCTGGGTTGGAAGGCCAGGGTACTGGGCCCTCTCTGAGGTGGTCTCTCTGTCCCTCAGGAACTACTCGGCTGTCTGTGTATATTCCCTTGGTGACATTGACAAGGTCTTCCGCACTTCCTCACTCAAGGGCTACCACACAGGCCTTCCCACCCCTCGGCCTGGCAAGGTGAGCAGTGAGTGATGTCCGCGTCCCCCTCCACTTCCCCGCCACCCGCTGACCTGGGCCTTCTCTCCTTGTCCAGTGCCTCCCAGACCGGAAGCCGATACCCACAGAGACCTTCCAGGTAGCTGACAGTCACCCTGAGGTGGCGCAGAGGGTGGAGCCCATGGGACCTCTGAAGACGCCACTGTATCACTCTAAGTACCACTACCAGAAAGTAGCTGTCCACCGCATGCATGCCAGCCATGGGAGGACCTTCCACGTGCTTTACCTCACTACAGGTGAGAGACTAACCCTGACCCCCCAGTCTGCCTTGTGAAAATGGATATGAAAGGTATAAGTAATAATGTAATTAACATATGGTTGGATCTCTGTACCTGGAAGGAAGAACTGAGTGACCGAGAGCTGTTGGGAGTTAGCATGTGTGGCTGTAGAAGAATCAGGCAGGAGGGCTCCCCAGAGGAGGTGGGGGCAGAGGGAAGAGAGAAAGGCATCCTAGGGTGGGAGAAGAGCAGGTGCCAGGATTCAGAGGCAGAAATGTGGCAAGTCTCAGCAAAGCTGGGTGCCGCTTTGCTCCTGATGTCTCTGACCCATGAAGATGGGAGGAAGAGATGTGAAAAGCCAGGAGGAAGGACCTGGTCACTGGGTATCCAGTGGGCCTCTGCTAGGCAGAATGAGGAAATTGGACCTTCTCCCTGTCTTTGGGATTATGCAGGTGACAGGGAACATTTAATGTGGGATACAAAGAATTTAGTCAGACATGAGGAAGTATTTTCAGATGTCAGAGCCTTTGCAGTCTTGCAGAGGACAGCAGGGGTACCTCTTCTTCTTGCTGGCCCCAGAAGCTGGTCAGATGCCCTGGGAGATGTCCCTGCATTCCAGGAAGCCACTGGCCATGGAGGAGCCAGCCCTAAGCTGGGTTTATGGCAGCTTCCTAGTCCTAGCTAGGGGCAAAGGGGACTGCTGGGAGTGGATGTGGAGATCAGCGTAGGCAGGCCCCACGTTTCCCCTGAGACTGGGTGGGCAGTGGTGCCATCAGAAAGGCAGTGTCTCACCCAGGTACTAGCACTTTTGGGACCATACAGTCTAGGCCTCAGGCACCCACCCCTCCTCCCATGTGACTTCCTGCTGTTGCTTCACCTTGAGGTTTTCTCAGAGCCATAGTGGCCTCATTCATTCCCACAGAGCAAGGCCTGGTTTCTGGGTCCTAAGATTGCACCTCTTTATTCTTCCATTTGTTTCGGCTGCACCATGGGTCCTTGTCCTTGCCCTGCTCCAGCAGTGGCTGGCCTGGCTGTTGCAGCCAGTCAGGGGATAGTAGGGCATGGCAGGGCACTGGGGTGCAGGAGAGGAGAGGTCACACAATGGGGAACTGGGAGCAGGAGCCAGGACAGAAGGCTTGGGACTGGGCCAAGGGAACTGTGGGCTCCCTTCCTGCAGACCTGGGAGGTGAGCATACTTGAGTGACAGGGCATTTGTCTCAGTTCCCCCGGAGGGCCATTGGAGATATGTCATTTAGGAGCCTGCAGCAGAAAAAACTGGGGCCAGATAAGAAATCAAGCTTTCTGAGCCCTCTTCAGAGAATGGAGGCTCTCACAGCTGGGAGGAGCTACGGGAGGCTGTCGCTGGGCTGCCATGGAAGGAGGTGAAGGACAGTAGCTGGGCTGGGAGCTTGTCGGGCCAAAGAAGCATTGGGCCACATTCCCGTGCCTGTGACGGGGGGGACAGAGTGAAAGGAAACGGCCTAGGCAGGTGACCATCTCATCATCTGACTGTTTTTTTTTTGGGGCAAGTGATGCCCTGGGGAATTGGAAGGGAGGGGGAGGGAGGTAGGCTATTCTGGAAACTGGGACAGTGGATGGTGTGGGATTGGGAGGAGACAGGGGTCAGGTTGCCCATTAGACCCTGACAGGTGTGGATGGATAGAACCGTGCTCTCGGAGGTGGGCAGCCTTACATGTGACTTTGGGGATCCCAGTGTAGAATCTAAGGTTCTTTTCAGATTTAAGATTTTATAAAAATTAAATAATCCCCTTAGACTAAATGCTATGTGGAGTCCTGGATTGGATCCTGGAACAGACAAAGGACACTTAGTGGAAAAAACCATGAAATCCTAGTAAGGTCTATTGCTGAGTTTAGTAGTACCGTACTGCTCCGTTGTGGCGCATGTGCCACAGTTACATAAGATGCACCATAGGGGAAATGGTAAGTGGTATATGGGAACTTTCTGTGCCGTCTTTGCATTTTTTTCTATAAACCTGAAATGACTCCAAAATAAAAAGTGTATTTAAAGAAAACATCCCTGAAGAGTCCAGGAGGCAGGGGAGTTATGGAAGAAGCTGAGGGATGGGGTTCTGACACCTCTGGGTTGCCGTCACCAGTTGTGTGACTGTGAGAAAATTGCTCAGCTTTCTGAGCCCCTTTGCCTTCTCTGGGAAGTGGGGAAGATAATACGCGTGGCCAGGGATGTGGAAGAATGAGGTAATGCTGATGCCTATGGGTCCAACAGAGTGATTGGGTGTCAGGACTGCTGGTCCTGTTCTTCCAGTTTCCTCTGAGCCACATGGAGCTCTGGGCCAGCCTTGGGGACTTCCTGGGCTGCTGGAAGCCTCACCTCACCTCACCTAGTCCTGTGACCCCTGCCTGAGCCATAACTTCCTGAACCTCCCCACCTGTGTCTTTCCTGGTTGGTCCTGCCTAGAGAGAGGCTGCCTGTCTCTGAGGTGGGATGCCTGCCTGTTGACCCTCTGCCTCCCACCCACAGACAGGGGCACCATCCACAAAGTGGTAGAGTCAGGGGAGGGAGAACACAGACTGGCCTTCAACATCGTGGAGATCCAGCCCTTCCGTCATGCAGCCGCCATCCAGGACATGTCCCTGGACCCTGACCGGGTGAGCCTCCCCATGCCCAGCCCTGTCCTGTGAAGCTACCCAGCAATGGCCAGCTGAGGCTAGAGCTCCTTCGCATGTAATTCACATGTTCTTTTCAGAGCTTCTGGGCCCTAGGGCCTGCCAGGCAGCCGGTGGTGGCCTGGGGCTTTAGAAGTCAGTGTTGGGGCTGGGAGCCCTGGCCTGACCTACTCTCTCCTTCCAGCGGAAACTGTATGTGAGCTCCCAATGGGAGGTGAGCCAGGTGCCCCTAGACCTGTGTGACATTTATGGTGGGGGCTGCCATGGCTGCCTCATGGCCCGAGACCCGTACTGTGGCTGGCACCAGGGCCACTGTGTCTCCATCTACAGCTCCCAAAGGTATGTTGGCTGGGATCCCTTGCCCCTGGGAGAAGGTGGAAGCAGGAGTGGATGTGGGGTGGACAGGCTGCAGGAGGTGTCAGTGCTGGGTGCTGGGCCACTCTGGTGAGACCCTCCTCTTGGTGGACACTGTGGTGGATACTGGTTGGGGGGTGAGGATGGGGAAGGGCCAGATCTGTGGCCTCCTGTCTATTTAGCCTCTCTCTTCCCACCTCCAGGGCAGTGCTGCAGCCTACTAATCTAGAAGAGCCACACAAAGAGTGCCCCAACCCAAACCCAGGTACCTGATCTAGCCCTGCCCAGGGCCCTAGTCTAATGAGGGTGGTATGGCCGTGCCCCGACCGCCCTGCCTGAGGGGAACATGGTCTGTTCCTGGGGGCCCCGGATAGTCCTGCGGAGTGAGCCTCCTTGGTGTGGGGTAGTTGTAAGAGGGGTGGGGTGAAGGAGGCCGGGGAAAATAAGGAGACTGGGAGCTTATTTCCTTGCGTTCATTTAGAAACCTTGGCCTTGGAGGCCTGGCTGGGGGTGGGGGGCGTAGGACATAGCCTGCCCTGGGAGCCCTCAGCTGTTCCTCACAGCTGCCGCGCCCCCCCAGATGAGGCCCCGCTGCAGAAGGTCTCCCTGGCCCGGAACTCTCGCTACTACCTGAGCTGCCCTGTGGAATCCCGCCACGCCACCTACTGGTGGCGCCATGGTGAGAAGGTGGAACAGAGATGCGAGCCCGGCCACCAGAGCCCCACCTGTGTCCTGTTCATCGAGAACCTCACTGATGGCCACTATGGCCACTACTACTGCGAGGCCAAGGAGGACTCCTACCTCCACAAGGCCCAGCACTGGCAGTTGCTGTCAGAGGATGAGGCCAAGGCCGAGCACCTGCTGGGCCATGCCCATGCCCTTCTGGCCTCTCTTTGGCTGGGGGTCCTGCCAACACTCACTCTTGGCCTGCTGGTTCATTAGGACCCCCTGGGTGGGGCATGTTGTAGGCTTCTGCAGTCGAAGGGCACTAGAAGAGTCTCACACCTAGAGCCACTCGGCTAGGAGTTCCTTGCCCACCACAGCTTGCAGGGGCACTGCACAGCTCAGCAGGGAATGTCAGGCCCAGAGATGGCCGACCACGAGCAGCTGCTGGGCCTGGGTGGGGCGGGGTGGCGGCGGCCAGAGGATGAAGGTACCAGCTATGAAGCTGGGACATCAATGGCCTGAGACTTTATCTTCTGCAGACTTCAAAAACTCCCTCTTGAACTTGAATAAATGCAGTGATGCTCCTAGCCCAAGAGCCTGTGGGCCAAAGAGGGGTTAGAAAAGGGGAGCTGGGATCCCCTTTCTGGACCTTCACTCTGAGGCCTGAGTCCTTCTGGACTCTATATTCAGATCGCCCTCTGACCCTCCCTCCTGCTGCTGCAGGGAGTGGCTGGTATGCCTGCAGGCCCAGGGCTGCCCTCTCTGGCCCCTGCACCAGCCCTGGGTCCCACTAAGGCAGCCTCCTTGCATGTTTATTGAAGGATGTTTGCTTTCCGGACAGGAGGACGGAAAAAGCTCTATTTTTATGTTAGGCATATTTCATGTATAGCTACTTCTGATTGCATCTGTATGAAAATACCAAAACTACATACTTGGGGTAGGGTGGGAAAGGGAGGGGCTGGGAAGGGATGGGTTGTGGGGAGTCCCGGTCTGAGGCTCTCGGGCATGGGATAAGAGTCCAGGGACATGGCATGAGTTCAAGAAGATGGCATGAGCTGGCTCTGCCCTGGGAGCTCAGGCTGAGGGGGATATTTTCCAAGCCCCCCTGTTGGTTATGGGAGGGGGTGGGGTGAGGGAGACGGGAAAGTGAAGGCAGAAACTGAGACGTAGGTTCATACATTCATTTAGAGGGAGTCCAGTTCTCAGGGGGAGGTTTCAGGACTCTGCCCTTGGCGTTGGGGGTTGGGGGTTGGGGGTCCCTCCCCCCGCCCTCAGCCCCCTTCCCCAGGGGCTGCTCTTCCATGCTCCCAGCCTCCCACCTTCAGCTCAGGACATGTTATAACCAAGGCTAAACTGTGAATTCCTGTTGGGACAGCCTGGGTCAAGCTCTCCAGCCCTGTCCATGGATTTCAGCAGAGAGCTGGGCCTTCTCTGGTGTGTCTGGCCAGCCTGGGGCAGGGCCTGGGGTTGGTGGCCTTCCAGCTTTGGCCCCTGCATCTCTTTTCAATGCACTTTAATGATATAACATATTACTAATAAACAAGCTATTTATTTACCTGTGCCTGCTCCTTCCCTTCAAAGCCATTCTGGTCGGGGTGAGGGTGAGGGCTCCTGCGTGTGACCCTGCACATCCTGCTGTGGGAGCATCACACACCCTCTCACTGGCCCTCAGGAGGGCTCCTAACGAGAGAGAGGCGGGGACAGGATCTGACCCCAGTGCTCCTGAGCAGTGCACTCCCTGCCAAGCCTTCGTCCTGGAGCCCAGATAGCGGCAACCCACCTGCTCTGCTCGCCATTAGAGCCGGCCTTCCCCCTTCCCAGCCTCCACCTCCCACACTTCCTTGGGAGGCCTGGCCTTGCTAGAAATTGCCTCAGGCCTGCCTGCCTTCAAGGATCCTGGCCTAGCCGGGAAGCTAATCAAACAAGAGCTACAAACATGGGATAAACCTATGGCGATGGAAGTGTGTACACAGGAGTCTGGGGTGGGGGGCTGATGGGGTGCAGGAATGGGGGTAAAGCACTTACTCCAGGCCGGCCCACCAGGCGGGACAGGTGTCGGTCTGGTCTGCACGCAGAGGGGGCAGTGGGCAGGGTTTGTGTGCTCCCTGGAGCTTGACTGTTCAGCCTCAGGGCAGTGACAGGGCTGGGGTGGGACGTGTGACTTAGAAGCTCCTGAATTCCCTCAAAGATGAAGCAAATAGATTTCAGAGCCCAGAAGGTGTGTGAAAAGGAGTCTCTGAGGCTGGGGCGGGGGAGGGGGCTAGGGGCTGTCCAGGTGTACGGGTGGGCAGGACTCGGGTTGGAGGGTGGGGCAAGTGGGAGGATTGGGAGAGGAACCTGGAGGTCCTCCAGAGGCCTCCCCCCACCCCCGCCTTCTCTCCCCTCCCTTTTCCATTCTCACCTGCCCCTTGCCGCAGGGACCCTTGCCTTTGGGGGTTTGCTGGGAGGTTTTCCTGAACAATAACTGCTGGAGAGGGGATGTGGCAGTGGAACTTGGGACAGCTCTGAGCCTGAGCCCAGCTTCTGGGTGGCTCCAGCAGGCCCCACGGGGCTGGAATCACCCTCACCCACCACACTCCCTCTCAGTCTGACCTGGCATATCCTCGGCCAGCCCCACACTGAGGACTGTGCCCGGTCCTTTCCTCTCCACACCTAGCCTTTCTAGAGTGACCAACGTGGCAGCAGGGGCTGGGGCCAGGAGCCTGGGGGTTGGGATGAGCTCTGGGCAGGGGCACTGACTTGGAGCCTCCATCACTTTTCGTGATCCTGGGCAGGCCTTGCCTTTCCTAAGCCTCGCTCTCCTCGGGCTTCTGGGGGGCCCCTTCTGGCACACTGTCCTAGGGTATGAGACTAATCTACTTTGTCTTAGAAGGAGCTTAGAGTCTACATCTTGGCCTCATGTGTCTGTTTTCCCAGAAGCAGCAGCAGAAGCACAGGGGCTTCCCAGACACTCCCCACACCCTGCCCCAGCAAACCCCTCTAAACGGAAAGGGCAGGAAGAGTGGGTTTTAGGAGTAGCTGGTAAGGAAAGTGAGGGCTCAAGCCCTGGCCTGCCAGGATTGCTGGGTGACCTCCTATGAGGTCTCTGCCTTCTCTAGTCTCAGCAGGCCCCTCTTTCATGCAGGGATGCTTTTGGTGCCCTGTGGGCCTGTGGAGGGGAACTTGAGGTACAGAACACACTCCTTTGTTTGTACAGAGGCACCAGGAGAGGCCAGGCTGGCAGGCAGGTGGGAAGCCGTGTGCACGGAGGCATGAAATGAGCCCTTGTAAATTCATGTGAACGAACCGGCAGAGCGGCAGGCCAAGCACAAACCTCCCTGCCTCTGGCTTCCCCCGATGCACAAGTAATGCAAAGGGCCCAGGGCAGCGGGGGGTGCAGGGCCATAAGTCTGGGACTGGGGGCATGAAGATCCACACAATATGGCACCAGTTTTGGCTTCTTGGGGTCAGGCTGGGGCTGGGGTACCAGCCCAGCCATCTGCCCTCTGTCGCGTGCATTACCCGCCGAGAGGAGAGGTGGGGGTGCAAAAGAGGGAGCAAGACTGAAAAATCAAAGTTCAGCTCTCCCGGGAAGCAAGCAGGGAATGGGAAAACTCCTTCACGTCTCCCTCCCTTTCATAAACCTAAAAAGCCACTAAGGTTTGCCCCAGGCACGTCTACGTCTTGCTATCCTGTCCCCCTTGGGGAAAGGCCACTGCCTTCTCTCTCTCCCCACTGTCCCTACCCTTAAACAGCTCCTTGCATGTGTCGACCTGATATCCTGAGCCAATACTCACAGCCCTGCGCACCCTCTGTCTTTTCCATCCAGTCTCCCCTCAGTCCTCCAGCTGCCTTTGCTGAAAATACTCTGCACCATTGCTCCTGTGAGTCTTTCCACTGGGATGCCAGGAGTAGGATATTCCCAGACAGAGGTTCCAGAATGACCTTGAATTCTTCAGAGGAGTCCTGGACACACCTGCCCACCCCCCCCTGCCTCTCTGTCTCAGTCCTGAGCTAAGGGGGTGGGGGAGCTTTATGGCCCGTGCACCTGGAATCGCCCTGGGCACTGGCGAGGGAAGGCACAGCCCCTCCCCTCAAGACCCTCACAGCCTGGTAGCAGAGGCAGATGCGGGGCTGCATGGCGAGCATCTGTGTGATGATCCTAGGTGGGAGGATACCCAACTCATGGGGTGGGGGGGCGTGGTTAGGGAGAGTGTTGGTGGGCTTTAGAGGCTGAGCTCCCCAGGTGCCGAAGTGACTGAAGAATAGTCACTGAAGGGAACAGCACTTCCACGGGCCGGGATTGTGCGAGCACCTGGAATGTCGTGGGCTCGGCAGGAATGACGTGAGCTCCAGGAAGGCAGAGGGACTTTTGCTCACAGCAGCAACTCTAGCACTTAAACAATGCCCATGTAACCACCTCTCTGTTCTTTTAATATTCTGTTAAAAGTGTTTTGTAAAAGATGAATTGTTAACTTACATGTAACCTGTAGCTTATCAGCATATTTGTGTAAGAGTTCCAGGAACTAATGTCCAAGGAAGCTGACTCCAGTAACTGGACGTACCTGCTCCAGGACACTCGCTGATCTTGAGCCATGAAAACCAGACCTCTGCTTGACTGGTTTCGATATAATCACCAGAACGCACTGTACTGACTTACGTGTACACGTGTTCCGCTCTCTCTCCCTCCTAATAAAAAGCCCTGCTGCACTGAGATGCAGAGGTGGCCTTTAGGGCCGGGGTCCACCATCTTCTCAGGTTGGCACCGAAGAAACCGTTTTCCTTACACCAACCCTTGTCTCTCGAGCACTGGCTTTCGAAGCGGCAGGCAACCAAACCCGAGTTCGGTGTCACGTGGAATGCATTCTTGTTGAGTGAATGGATAAGGTGAAAGGAGAGAGTATCTGGAAGTGGGATTGAATGCATCTGTCTGTGCCCACTCCTGGGAGCAGAGGCTGTAGATCTTTGCCCTGCCAGGTATAGGGAGCCGTGAAAGGGTTTTGAGCAGCGGTGGGTGGATGGCGGCGGCGACGACAATGTGGACGATGGGGTCCTGAGCCTCGGCTTTTCTCACACCTCTTCCTTGCTGCCTCACTGCAAGCTCACGCCTCCCACACCCCAGGCACTTGTGGCTGCCTGCACAGCCTGATTTTAGCCTCATTGTCTGGAAAAGCAAATGGACATTCTGGGCTGGGCCATTTCAGCAAGGGTTCTGGCCAGGAGGTCTGCGGATGTGGGCTGGTGGGAGGAAGCTGGAGTGGCTTAACATAGGCTCAGGAAATACTTTTATGTTGGTATTGGTTAACAATGGGAAGAAAAGGCTTTGGGGAAAAAACAAAAAACAAAGCCTGTAGCATTCCCAGCTGACGGAAAGAACCTAGGACCACATCCAGAGGCCCTTGCTCAGTCAGTGTGATGGTGACTTTCTGGAGGGTGGTGCCCATGTCAGAACTGCGGGACCCACACCTGACTGGTGGCTCTTTCAGGTTGGGCAAAAGGAATATGGCTCAGAAGGGCTTAGGAGGAAATCACATGCTTGGGGTTGGACCTATAACACACGGGCAAACGCATGGCTGCAACTTTATCCAGCTCCCAGACATGCCCTGCCTGTAGCAGAAATCACTGCACAATTGTCCTTTCTCCTGAGCAATTTCCTCTGGAACTGCATTCTCCAAGGGCTACTGAGCCCTTGAAATGCGGCTCATCTGAGTTGAGATGTACTGTAAGTATAAGACGTACTGGATTTTTGAAGGTGTAATGAAAAAAAGAATTTACCTTATTAATAAAAAGTTATATTGGTTACATGTGGAAATTTAAATGTTTTGGATATATTGGGTTAAATAAACTATATTGTAAATGTTAAATTCACTTGTTTCTTTTCCCTTCTATTTAATGTGACTGCTAGAACATTTAAAACTGTGCAGCTGACATATATTTCTATTGGCCACCCCACCAGGGCATAAAATTTTGTCCTTTTTGTTCATAGCGAAATCTCCAGCACCTAAATAGTGCTTGGAACATAGTTAGGGGCTCAGTGGTATTTGTGGAATGAATGAATGAACTCTCATCAATATGAGAATGAATTCTCATTCTCTCTTCAGGGAGCCCCCACCAATTGGTCAGTTGGATTGTAGCTGCTGCCCTGCGCCTCTGCAGTAGTTCCAGCACGGTGCTGAAATCCCCCGTGTCTGCTTTCTGATTTTAGAGCTGGTCTCACCATCTCGGGGTTCGCATGAAACCCAGGAGCTGGAGGTGGACTTGGGTGAATGGGCTGCTCCCCTAAGGGTGTTCTGAAAGGGAACTTTCTGTTTCTTCAGATGAGGAAGTAGGACAGTGTGCAAATGATACGGAAATGGATTCTCACAGGCATTTGCATGCTTGAGGTGTGAGGGCGCTTCACATTCACATCTTGACCGTAGCCCCTTGTCCCTAGGGACAAAACAGGAAGCACAGGAGACCTTGAGCTCCAGGGAGAAGCAAGGCCACGTTGTCTTTCCCTAGTGAGCAAGGGTTGTAGCCCAGAGCATCCTTGTCTCTCCTATCCATCAGGAGCCTAAAAATAGTCTGCGGTTCCAG